GTGAAGCAAACGTCAGGAGCCCGACTTCTTTCTAAACATTTGTCTACTCAAACAGTGAAAGCTGAAGTGAGCTCGTTGTTGTTTTTCTCGCCTGAGGCACAAAAACTATATTTAAAGCCTTTATGTCAAGAACCAAATGTAAACAAACTAGCCTCGCACGCCACTGATGAAGCCGCTGCCACTCCCTCCTTCACACAACTGACTGATTCAATGGTAACTGAGCTTCACTGCATTTCCTTCTGTTTGTGTTTATGAAGAGAGAACGACCAAAAGAAGAAATGAAACAGTGAGGAAAGAGGAAGAAAGAGGCAAAGACTGGGAGAAAAATGAAGGAGGAAGGGAAAAGAGTTAAGTATAAAAAGAAACAATGATTTTGGAAGAGACTGAAGAAAGCAGGAGGAAAGAGAGGGCAAGAAGCAAATAAGGAGGAAAATTAAAAATAAGGAAGTAGTGATGGGAGAGAAGGATGATGGGGAGGAGAGAGGGACAACTGGAAATTTAAAGACATCAAAAAAAGAATCTGACAGGAGACACTGCAGAAGAAGACACTGGATTTTGGGGCGATTCAAGCACCAACAAAACCAGAACCACAGATAAATTGTAAAACTCCGTATAATTGTTTTTACATAATTATTCTGTTTACTTGACATTAAAAAACATTCAGGGTGTTTTCCAGACTGACTCACAAGCAAAGAACAAGGGTGTAAGAGGAAACAACAGCATCAGTACCTTAGTATGACGACGGGTTTCTGTCCACAGGTTTTACTTTCCTCTAAATCTCATTTCGTCTCCTTTGTTCAGCTGGCTACTCACTTCCTGAGCTGAACTCCACCATCTTCAGCTCTCGCACAGGTGCCTGCGTCATCAGTGTTCAAACAGAGGTGGAGTCTTTGCTGCTAAAACAGCAGTCACTCAGACACAGCATGTGTCATGTAACACCACAACAGCTACAAGACACTGAAAGGAGAATGGAGTCTGTACACTGCTGAAAGTGGTTCCGTTAGTTAAGGACAAGTCAAAGCTACTGTTACAGGTCTTTACATTATAAACCTTTAACATGATGGGTTATGGGCTTAAGTTTCATCCAGGTGTTTTCAGCCCTCTACTTGTGTTCAAACTTAAATATCTTTACCACTATCGCACAGGAAGATTTGGTGCAGGCGTCCAAGGTTCCCAGAGGATGAATCCAAACGACTTTGCTGATCCGCCAGTGTTTTCTTTAGCACCAACAGGTTGATGTGATGTGTGGACTTCTCAACATTTGGGTGAAGTGCCCCATCTTTTGGCTCAAATATTCATGTTCCCTTCAGAATGAACAGTATTAACTCGTTGATCCTCTGACCACGACTGGATTCACCTGTTTAGGAGCTGTATCATATTAAACTACCAAAGAACACCAAGTTGGACTGTGGTGCATAAGAGGTCAGGGAAGAATCACTATAGTACATCTGTTCTGTTCCTTTAATTCAATGTATATCTTCAAGTTAATTTATTCCCTTAAATAATCACATTCACTTCAAAGGCTCAGATTTATACTTTTTTAATCTGCAGGTTCAAATTGAAGTGTTCAGAGCAAATCGTTCGACCACATCTGAGCAGATAGATTCTGCTCAGTAACATTCACGAGGCATCTTTCTTAAATGAAATGTGTTTAAAACCTCTAAAAAAAGCTAGAAATCAGACCTTGACAACTCTCCTGGCAAATGATCAGTTTTGACTTTACACTGATTAGTCTGAGACATGTTGTGCTTCCATCACAGCCAGGTGCCCCATAAAAAAGACATTTTCCACCTTAATGGGAATAAACCTAGTGAAACAAAACGAAGGTAAGAATTTAAGATATGAATTTCAAAACTTGTAAACACTGACCTGATTTTTCTGATTCTCCAAGTGGGCTCACACTAAACAAGGTTCAAAACACCTGTGATATCACTGAGAGGGGCAGGACCAGAGGCTCAACAGCGCCTTTCTCAGTGGACTGAACCTTTAAAACTGAAATAAAAGGAACCCCGAGCAGCTAGTTTCCTGCTAGGTTCTTGTGTTGATAGTTTCACACTGTAAAAAACACTCCCTTCTTCCTTTACAGCTCTCAGCCACCCAGCCAAAACAGTATTTATATCTCCATGTAACGTAAAATAAGTGCATAACCCTCTGGGAACTTTTAAACTGTGTTTGGAAAACAAAAAGACTGATATGCAGTCAGTGTTCACGCCCACACCCCCTTTATTATTTTACTAAGAACACTTAAATAACAGAACTAAACGTGGTACAGTTTGATGAACACGGGATCCCAATGGGCTGGATGAAGGTCTGTTTCTCCCCTTATGTACACTGAAGGTGAGACGGTGGCAGGCAGATCAGAAGTTGATGGCTTTGCCGAAGGAGGCGGCCAGGTTTGCTTCTCTGAAAGCCTCCGACACAGTCTGCAGGAGGAGGGGGAGAAGGAATGGAGAGTGGATGAAGAAGATGGCCAGAGGATGAAGCACAAAAGGTCACTTTCAGTTCCAAGTTTAGCCTGATCATGTTAGGACTGATTTCATGTTATTGTCTCATGCAGATTATGAGCCTTTCTGTCTCTTCACTGTTACTTTTGTCTTGCCTCCTGCCAGGATGTGCTGTGAATAAGAATTTTTTCTTATAAGAAACTGCTGAGAAAATAAAGCAATGAAAAACTAGAAAGTCAGACACACTATGTTCAGTTTCAGGAAGCTATCTGGCTAACTTCGGGTAGTAAACAATAAAAGCAACACACCAGCAGCATCCAACTTAAAAACATCTGGATCCTCTGCAGCAGGTTTTAGTCACATACAATCATCTGATCAGCTGCACGGGCAGAGTCGAGGCCATTGTATTTACAGTAAATTCCCCAAAACAAGGGTTTTATAGTGTGTATCACATATGATACCCGTGATCTGTCAACTCTGTGTCGGTCAAAAGAAAAAAACAAAACTGTAGCTTTGCCATTTCTGGCACGTCCAGTGTGTGTTTCACTTGAGATCTTACACAATGGCTGCTTCATACTTTATAAGCATTAATGCCTTAAAGGTAACACTGTAAAAGACTTCTTATTCCTCAACCCAACAGATCTGGTTTAATGTGTATGATATTCTGATGCTCTCATGCATATTGAACGTGTGTGTTGCATACAGGATGTGCGTGGCAGACTCGGGCGACATCCTCACAGGAAGCTCCGTACTCCATGGCCAAAGCAGCTTCATTGATCATCTCTCCTGCTCCCTGCAGGGAAACACAAACAGCGGGATTCAGTTCCACACGTCTGACTGACAGTGGTACATTAGTGTCGGTCCATCACTTTGATCCACAGTGAAACACGTCATGTCACTAACATGCTACATGTTTGCATGCTAACTGCTAATCGGGCCCAGTACTAACTCTGCAGTCATGTGTTGAGTTCATGTTACGCCAACGCTAGATGTAAACATGCTGACAGACAAGTTCAGTTTTAAAAGCATCACCCTGACGTCCAGACAAATGTACATCTTTAACAGCATGTTAAGATACATTAACTTTCAGCTGAGTGGAGCTTTGACCGGAGACATTGTAGTGAGCCTGAGACGCCTCACAGAAAATAAGCCCTTTATATTTAGGTGACATGAGCTTTCCTCTGGTACCACCTTCAGAACAAGCTAATTCAGGACCAACAATAATCCAGTGGTGGGAAGAAACTAAGCAAAATTACCTCAGATTGATTAACACTAGCTAAGCAGCAGCTTTCATACATTTTGATCTAAATCAGATCTGAAAAAGAGTGCTGGTCCTCTGCTGGGGATTCCTGCTCTGATTAGTTATACTGCATTCAGAATCACTTGCACTCAGTCGGGCTGGATGAAGCTCTTACAGATCCGAGAATGTGCGCTCCCAGCATCCTGTCCGTCTCCCTGTGGCTGAGGATCTTCACCATGCCGTCTGTGTCGGCGTTGGTTTTGGCTCGGCTGTTGGCCGCAAAGGGGAACTTGCCAACTTTGTACGGGACGCCCTGAGGACGACAGTGGCAGAGTGAGTGCTGGTTTAAAACACTGAAAATCTGCAGGTGAGGGAGTGGAGGTAGTTTTAAGATTGTTTTTCCTTTCAGGCGTTTTGCCTTTAGCCAGTCAGCATATAGGAAATGTGGGGGCAGTGAGAGAAAGCAGGTTAAGAAATGCAACAGAAGGTCCCACAGCTGGGAATCGCATCATAGACGTTATGTGGCACGCACCTTAACCATTTGGCCAACATTAACAGCTGGGCTTCAATGGACCGATTGGGATAAATAGATGCCTCAAAACCAGTTTAACAAGTTGGGGCGCTGCACCCAAGGCATGATGGGATGTTGGTGAATATATTCCATTTGAGTCTCCCCACCCCAACTCACCTCCTCTTTGAGCTGCTCCTCTGTCTTGCCCACCCAGGCCACCTCGGGGTGTGTGTAGATGACGGAGGGGACACAGTTGTAGTCGATGTGCACGGCGCCGCCGGCTATGCCCTCCACACAGATGATACCCTCGTCCTCAGCCTTGTGGGCCAACATCGGCCCGGCAACCACGTCACCGATCGCATAAATACTGGAGGAGAAGCAAAGAAAAAGAAAAAAAAAAAATTTGCACAGTCACTGGAACCTCCTGGTTA